AATCTCTCAGTGTCTTTCATGATTATCCTCTTGGTGGCCAGAATAGATTATTGTTTCCCCAGTTTGTTGTTGGCACCTTCCAGTTCCGATCCATCTGCTCTCACAGATTCCCAACACTTCTATTCGATATTTTCTCGTTTCTGCGGCTACCTGAGCAGCCTTTCCAGTTTCGTACATTGTACGAACATTCCAGGTAGCCATCCTTACTTTTGCTTCCATCGAAAGAAGGAACTTCTCCTGAGTGGCTTCCCGAAGACTGTCATCAGCCTGCATCATTTCACTTCCCCGATTCCAGTGACAGATAAGGTTACTGTTTATATTTTCAGAATTTTTAATATATTGGTGCACTGAAGTTTCTGTAGCGGTTTGGTTGACTTTTGGGGGTGGAGTTGCTAGCACCACGCTCAAACCGTCCGTCTGGGCTTGGGACCGGCTAGGAAACTGGCAAGCTGTAGTTTAGGCGGGTTTTTGGTATTGATATTAAATTTAGGCATATTGCAATTGCTTCTCGTCTTTTTTAAATTGATGGAAAAACTACTTTTACTTCGTCTTGAACCTTCATTGAAACCTTTAAGTGATCATAAACAATTTGATTATAAACATGGTAGATCTACCTTGGATGCTGCGGTTGTCTTATATCATAATGTTGTTTCTTGTTTAGACAAAAGTGCGAAATATGTTCGCGGTGCTTCCCTAGACTACACATCTGCTTTTGACTCTGCGCCTAGGGGTCTTTTATTAAAAAGGTTTCGTTGACTCAAACAGGATCCTGGGCTTAGAGTTGGTTGCATTCTTATTTTTCTGATAGAACGCAGTATATTGTATTTAATGGCAAATCTTCTGCCTCGCCTACAAAAGCCGGTGTTCCTCAAGGTGCCATCCTCTCTCCTTTTCTTTCTTCTTTCTTCCCACACGACCTGCCTCATTTCAACGAAACTAACTTTGTCAAATATGCGGATGATCTGACTGTTTCACTCACTACCTATCACTTCCGAGTCTGACTGCTCCAAACTTAATAGCTTTATTTTGGACATCAGCAAGTGGTCTAAGTCAAATGGTCTTATGTTAAATCCTTCCAAATGTCAGGCAGTTAACTTTACTTTGAAGCATTGATGTGACTTACATGAACTTGTTAGTTCCTGTGATGCCTGTAGCATAGATGGCACGGGAATTGAAACCAAGTCAAGCAATAAATACCTTGGATCAGTTCTTTCATCTGACATTTCATGATTATTCCGCATCCCATATCAATCTCTAAGAAAATGTCTCGTCTTACCTTCTACATTAAAAAGTTAAGGCGATCAGGTATCAACTGACCTTTGCTTCTGCAGTTTGTAAACTCCTGTATTTTACCTATGGTACTCTATTGCTCTCCATTAATTTTTCCTGGGCTTCTCAAAAAAGACTATATCATATTACGAAGAGTATTGAATGCTGTGAGTAGAGCTTGTGGTCTGCCACTGCCAATACTATAGTCGAGAAACACATGAATTCCTGTACAAAATGCGCAGAGGCCGTACTATCAGACCCCCTGCAACTCTTTATTCACAACTATACTCTCGCATCTCATCAGGTTAGACGAGAAGTCAATGTAAGAAGATTTATGCTCGAACCGCTAAGTACAAAAATTCCTTTTTTTTTTACTAATTCAATTTTACGTTAAGCTAGTGGCTTGAAGTTCCTGCAGAAGTGTTTATTTTACAGGATGAGGTTGCTAGCCTCATGTCCAATCTTCATTCTTTACCAGCATTATTTCTGGCTCAGTGAGGTAAAGGAGTGCAACGGCCGGGGATCGAACCTCGGGCCATGTTTATGGTCGATGAGCGTCCTAACCACTATACCACCAACGCACGCAAAAATTCTACAATACACTATTTAGCTCGTATTTTATATGATAAAGACACTGGTACTATGTAATTAGCAATGTAAATCGACCCTTTCATTGTTCAACTTTCTGTAATTTTATGGTGTCACCCTTTTTTAAGTTTAATTATAACTTTGCTATTTTATTTTAGTTGTTATTACTTTTATTGCTATAATTTTATATTTTATGCATATTTTTCTCCTAATCACATAATGTCATTTGTTACATAGCTGTTATGACAAACGTCTTGTCATTTTTATTATGTGATGTTTACTTTGTTTGTCATTTGAGTAAATTAGATTCACTATTGTAGTGAATGCCGAAAATTCCTCGCTGTATCCTTGGTACTGTTTTTCGAATAAAGCGAAAATTATAATAATAATTATTATTAATCTCTCTATCAGGAATGTGGTCCTTCTATAATTTCACAGTGAAGACCACTTTGAATCCCAAATCTGAATGTGGTGATATCTGGTGCAATGGAATTACCGCTCTCCTAAAGTTGTATGGAATGCAACTTCTCGAAATTTCCAGGATTAATGATAGTACACTTACAGACATTGTATTGATGAATACCTGAGAATGTCTGAGAAGAATACATTTTCAAAGACTTTTCAGGATTTCATGCCGTTTCATTAGTGAATCGTAGCTCCATAGAAGCGTAGGTTTCTGTAGCATAATATATATCCACTGCATCAGGAAACTTTGAAGTACCTTCAAGATGTTGAACATAATACAGGAAACGTTTCAGTCACCTGCTAAATCGAATTGTGATGAGACCGACTTGGTCACAGACAACTGAGTCACAGAGTTCAGATGATTTCATCCATTCCCCTTTATTCACTGCCTTCACAACAGGAAGAGAGAAGCAGAAAACGAGGGATAATGACACAGAAATGTGATTTAGATGTTGAATCACGGACTGACTTGTTCTAGAGGACTATTGGAAAGCAGGAAACTTTTAGTAGCCGTCTCTTGCATCTTCACATCTCCTCGGCAGTAAGAACTCAAGTAGGAGCTTTATATCGCTTTATATCGGAAGTGTTTACTCTCACACGCAACTTTGAAAGTCACGACATCTTCGCAGAATATCAGGAGTATTCAGACTGTATAAATTGATTGCTGAAGGCTAGGAGCTTATTTCTGGACTACTTCTGAGAAATTCATAACCGAGAGACAATAAAGGAGACCTGAATGATTTGCAACTTCTACAGAACGAAATCATAATTAGTGTTAGAATAATTAGCTAAGTCACTAAATTTTGGAAATAAAAACAAGAAAATTAAGCAGTAGACAAGTGATTGTCCATCTCACTGTGAACAGGAGACATATTCGAGATTTTTCGGGAAGAGAAGAATGCATATCTCATTCAGGTCATCAATGTAGTGTTGGTGGATATATGCAAACGACACAATAACGATGATGTGAAAGAAAGATGTTGAGAAATTCTTCTCACATATTAACAATCATGTAGACTCCATGAAATTCACTATGGAAATAGAGAGTGAGAAATCAGGGAACTGCCCGTGTTACACTGCAAAGTACGCGGACTAACTGGTGGCAGCACAGCTGCAACAGTAAACAGAAAAACCACATATTCTGGGAGACTCCCTGATTATCATCACTCACTTCACTGACCCTTGGTACGACGAGAGTTAATACAAGGTCTTGCTGACAGAATATGTAGATTTACGACGAAACCATTGACTTCAAACTCTTATTTAAAATTTAACTTGACAACAACCACTCAAAATGATTCATCGAAGAAAATTTACGGAAGAGAAGAAAAGAAGGCTTAAAATAGAGAAAAACAAGGTGAAAGATGGCGAAATAACTATCAAAATGGCTTAGAAAAATGGCACGTCAGAGTTCGAATCCGAAGAATCCCCGACATATTTGAGATTGGAATAAAGCAAGAACAACAGATTTCGCTCAGTGAAATGATAACATCAATGCATATTCCGATGGATTCTCATCAGCTGCATCCATGCCAAATTCATTTTTAGGTGGATCCGCAGTAACGATTTTAAAATACTTGCACAGAGAGCATTTCGAAACGAAAAATCAATCAGCCATTACATGCATAGATTAACTATGAGTTTAATAATAATGTGCAGAACTAGCAATTGACCAAGGCAATCTATATTCTCGCAGCGTACATAGTGTGAGTCAGCTAATAGGTTGGATTACCATTGTTCATGAATTATAGGTTCATTGAACAGTGACATCACAATGTCGTCAGTCGACGTGACCGACGAGCATTTGTGGGCATTCGCAAACTGGTTGACCTCGTCTAGAACGGCAACGCAATTATCCCGTGATCCGACTTGACAGCTCAAAAACCATACTTTTGCACCCACTTCAAAGCTTGAATGCTTGCATCATTGACATTTTGAACAGCAGAGATCATAGAATGACCGTATCTCTCTAGTGAATATGAGGAGGTGTAGCTAGCATCTTTTATTCCTTGGATATATTGTTGAACCGTTAAATTCATGGATTCTCCATGTCTACTTTTCTCGGTTTGCCTGACACTCAGCATTCGTGCCTCATATCATTTGCGAATGTTTTACACTTTAATTTGCTCATTCCAATAATCCGTTATTCATAAACACTGATCCTCTAATGACAATAATTCTTTAATTAATGTGCACCCATTCCTGTTACTGAAGAAGTTATTGAAGAAGGAGATGTTGGCCATAACTGTATTCACACAGCTGATGGATGATAACAGTTCTCATTCTCAACATGTTCTCTTAATTTGCTTCCAGTAGTTCCCTTATAATATAAATGAGTAATTGTCGTGGTATACACGACATGTTGTCATGATCACGCGACAAGACGAGAGATAGCACTTCAAAAGTGGAGACACAACATGATCACTCCACAGTGCTCCTATAAAGCATACATCTTACGAATATAACCGTGAACAGAACAGCCGAAAGATTCTACTCACCATGGTTATTACTCAGTGTGCAATAAAATTAAAGTGAATACTGTTCACGATAGGTTGAATTTCATAATTAAATCTCAACTAGCATGTCTGCCTCTCGAATTCTTGTCTACCAATCAAATTTCACTTTAAGTCTGTCAGCAGTATAAATACAGATGGATTTCAAAAGACAAAATAATCATGATGCATCTTTCACTGTCGCTGGTCACAGTCATTATTGTTCTGCTTCACTCTATCTCCGTTGTAAAAGGTAAACAATGCTCAACACTTTCTGTGCAGATTTACCCCATTTTTACGATGGCTTTATACATGGAATGTGCATTGGCTATCACACAGGTTGCACTTCTGTTTTATTTATGCTATATTTAAAAATTTCTTAGAATGTTTCATCCAATCATTTATTGCCTAATTTTTTCCAGGTGGAATATTTAGTTGGAACAGAACGGAGGTTTGCGTTAGCGCAAGAAGTGAGTGTGGATTAACAAGTGGTTGAATGAATTTGCATTATTTTTAAGAAGTTTGTAATAGAAGTAGTTCCAGTAGGAATGTGATTTCACTCCATTCTGCGTCTCGCATATCGTCTGGACAATCAAAGAAGACGCTTTCTCTTCATTAAGCATTTTCTCCATTTTACTCATCATACCAGAAATATCCTAACCTATCATACACTTTCCGGAAATTTTAGGAATGCAGTTGATACAACAAAGGGTTGACAGTTTTCAAAGGATTATCCAAAGTTATAAGAGTGAGTAGTGAGTTTACGTTTGTCTCTCCTTGAAATGCCTTTTCAATCAGCACTGAACAAGTCCAGTAGCTTTGTTCATTCGAGATTCTGGCGAATGGAGCAATTTCAGAACTGATAATTATATTTGCAACCGTTTACTTCTGCTAAATTGTACACTCAGTTTGAGACCAGATTTATTGTGATGTATTGTAAGCATATCATGTAGGATTAGTGTGTTCACGAGCGTTTCAATAGCATCAGTGAAAGATCTCTTACCTTAAACAATCTGCTGATGCAAATTATTGTCATGTAGATCAGACTTTACATGTGAAGGATTCTCAAAAATTATGAAACAACAACGCATATTTTGAACTATCAAAACGATATTTTGAGAGTGATATGCATTAACACGTTACATTTATTCACAGAGTTGAATACGAGATACGAAGACAGAATAGTCCAAGTGGATACAATTTCTCAAATAATAACAAGTAAAACAAGAACATTAAATTTATATCATTTCATGTTAATTCAATTTTATGGATGAAATGGCTTTTCCCTTTTGAAATATTTCTCTCATAGGGATTCACTTTCAACCAGTAAAATAAACTATGTCTTACCAACTGTTAACCATTTGTTCCCTGAGGATGAAAAGAGCTGAGTGCACCATCCAGTCAGATACTCACTCAGCCTCACACAAATATCAGTGTGTTTTTGGTAGCTTATGAGTGAGTGAGCATGAAACTTGTCATACACAGATTATCAGGCATTCCCATTTTCTAGTGTCTAGTGTGAGTTGAAATATGCGAATTTCGCTATCTCAATAAATTGTGTAGTCACATTCAGTCAGATGAAGAACAAAGGCAGCTCAATGGCATGCAACGGTCAGATATATAATTCAGATTCTTTGAACGCGGTCATCCGGAATGAGATGTGGATAGAAGGCGAAGAGTAGATATTCACCATGAAATCACAACTAGCATACACCAAATGATTACAGCCTAATTTTGTGACACAGAATATCAAACGGAGTAAATTGTTTTTACTTGGCAATACTTGGCTCGATACTCACTTACTATTTCAAATCAAACATTTCGTTGTACTATTTGCAGATAATCTGAAAGAAGCATTTCCCAGTAGAGCAAGTATCACTGATCGATGTAGGTGAATCACTTCCGTATTTCAATGAATATTCTCTTTCAGATTACCAGTGTATAAACAAAAATTACCTGGAATACCACAGACCAGACATCTTCAAGGGTTTGTGATTTCCATCCGTTGTCATTGTTTATAGCATCCTTCTGGTAATATTTTTCATGCAATCATATCACATGAGGGAAATTTCACTTTGATGAATTTCTTGAACGAATAACAGCTTTTTCGAAATTTACAGAACAGTATCCTATTTTGTTCACCTTTAATGGATCCATTCAGAACGAAATTCAACTCTGAGAACTTCACCACTTTTGTATTCAACCTCCTGAGTGATACAATATTTTTGGCTAGTAAAGCACAACACTAACAACCTCCTAGTCACTTGTTCCACTCCGAATCAGAAATAGGCATAATTTCTGACAGTCGTTAATCCGGCGAGTGATGACAAAGCTGAACGCTTAGATACGTTTATCATTCTGACATTCGGAACTCTGCGAGAGATGAAAGATCATGATGATGATGATGATTATGCGATTCAGGACACTTCGTCTAATTTGTCATAAATACTTCTATTTTGAATTATATCCATAATAATAGAAATACTTTCAACACTACCAATAATAATAGTAATTATAGTAATTAGTGCCAAAGGTGTTTGTCGTCTATTGACTATCTTCTCCATCGTTTTACATACAATTTCAGTGATGATGCCGTCAGTGCTGGTCCTCATAGAGGAATATAGTAAGCAAATATATAATAATCTGCTTGCAATAACTTGAAGTAAAATTTGGAAATTTAGTGTATTACGACATGAGTGGTGGAGATGTAATGTGGTACAAATTTATGCGAAATACACTGAATATTAGTGTTGAAAATATTGAACGTGAACAAAAGATTCTACTTCAGATTTTACTGTTTATTTGATAACCTCTGAAACCTCAACCTTTGTTATCTTTCCAGAGGAAATTGATCCAGACATAAATGCGGCCCTTTTTCACTGCAAATATTTATTAAAGGAAGCAAAAGGTATGTGTTTATCGAATCAAAAGCCTCTCGCCCTGTGAATATTATGAATTCTGGATTTGATGTTTTCAGCCATTGAGATCCAAATTTTTGATTAAACAACTACACGTGACTGTCATAGTTATAGATTTGATAGAAGTATCAGGGATGTGGTTTGAATGATGATTTATAGTGGAGTAAGACAGTGAATTGGGATATCCTAATGTGATGTCCACTGAACACCACCCTTGATATTTGAAACTATATATGCTGACTTGAAATCTTCAGTTGGGAACATAATTATTCATCGGTAGTGAGCGTACATTCAACCATTCAATCCTAAGCAGAAAGAAATCGGAACCAACGTTTCTACTGTCAGTTAGCACAGCCGAATAATGTTATGTTGCTCTTCGGACATCGTTAGGGATGAAATGTGAACAAAATCAAAGTATCCTTCTTCAGAGAAACGTTTCTTTTATTTTATCCAGGATTCTTACTAACCTGTAGTTAGCACACACGTATATTATTTAAATTTTAGATGAGCTAAAACGTACGTGAGTTACTACGTGATTTGCATAAATAACAGTTTCATGCACAAGAACATAACATATTCTCGCATTTTGTAAACAATCCGTCATTTACCAGTACCCCCTTTTGTTGTTGCAGACAGTAGATTTGGACCTGCATACACTGGATGTGATAGGTTCCTGCCACCTTTCTCTTCTCAAGGTATTTTCCCATCAGTAATAATATTCATATTTGATTCTTTGTACTTGCTTTGCTTTCATTCGACTGAGTACTTTATATATTTGCAGACATTAGTAAGCACAATCCCCACAATGCAAATGTAGCTGTTGTCAGTGATGAACGATGTCAAACGATCAGGGAGACAGTATCTCACTTCACACTCGAGTTGATTTCTTGAAACTTGAATGAGGAGTGAAAGTCAAGACCTGATTGAATATTATACTATCACCCTGGGATTGTCTCTTATTTAGGAATAATGTTCAATATTAAGATCACTTAAAAAGATGCCACCTACCTCATTACTGTTTCACTTAGTGATTCTAAGGTAACCGATGGCATATTTCCCACTTAAGACATCGCGTGCTGCCAATAGAAGATCACTCTTGGATGTGTTAGGCCAACAGTATCCCGGGAGACAAGTACATTCCTGCTAGATGGTTGAAGCGAGAATGACTTCATCTTGAGTCGGTGAAAGTCAACATACTAATTTACTAATCTTTATTTCGCTCTTCATACACTGTGGTGTCTGGTAGGTATAAGAAGCTGGAATCTCTTAGTATCTCAAGTATATGAAGAAATGTCTACACGTGAGGCTATTAAAGGTGGGTAAAGATCCTTCGCTGTACTCATATGTATATATATATATATATCATCTCCTTGAAAGTGTCTCCAAAATTGTGAAATCATTATTCTGAAATATCAAAACATCTAAGTCTTTATAGTATTAAGGATAACAACCATGGTGATGTAATTGTCTACATCATATCCAAACAGCCGAGGAGGTGACGTCATAATGAGCAACTGACACTCATCAAACAATCTGATGGCAAAAGCTACCGAAATCACGTGAATATTGTACTAAAAGTTCTTCGATAAGTCACCGTGATTTAAGTAGGTAGCTCAAATTAATTATTTTATATTTTGCGTTGTAAACTGTGCACTGACATAGGATTTCAATCACATTTCAGAGTTACTGCCAATATATGAAGCCATCGTTGACAGACTGACGGTAAGAAGTCGTTCAGCTAACTTGTCTGCTTACTAGGTAGATGTTGCCCGATATTCTGTTAACATTTTCATTAGCATGAAACATGACAGGTGACTCTGTTCAACACCTGTCACATTCACATCAAACACTTTGGGATTCACAGTATCAGTAACCTTTTGCTAGGAAGTCTTCATCGACTGCATTCAACTCACTGAAAACAAATATAATGCATGTCACTTGTATAGATCATAGCTTACATAGCACTTCATCAGTTCGCAAGATGCTATTCAACGACAAGAATCTAAGTGAATACGTCACTTGTAGTTCTCTTGTATGCAGTGAATTACAATTTCAAGGCGTTGTCACTGTGTGTTTCAGAGATTTTAATATAATCAATCATCTATTCAGCCACATATGCGGTGCAAGTGTGAATGCATTCTGATCAGAGTGAGATTTCGGTCTTATGTGTAGTGTGCATTCTTGTTATCTGCTGCTCGTGTGTTGTGATGTTGGTTTTAAATATTTGCACATTGAACTTTCATCTTTCACTACCTGTTTTGATTTCTTTCTGCAGTCTGTCCAACAATGGTTCCGGTGGAAGAAGCAGTGTTGACACGCCTTGTGTCAACTTCATTTTCTTATGTTTTAACAATGAATTAACAGTAATTTAACAGCACACCCTTCTTCATTTATTATTAATGCAAAAGTAATCATATTAAAGTAATTTTAAAGCATGTGTCACGTTTTCTATCTCTCTGTCAATGCGTAATTCAAGGGAACCTCATTCGAATTCTTTCGTGCCAGGTGCATCTGAATTCTTCACAGCACAGAATCGTGTACATGCGCATATGATACGGGGCAGGAATACAACTCCTAACTGAGTGTCAGGCGAACTGCGAAAAGTAGTCATGGATAATTCATGAATTCGAGGTTTCACCAATATATCTGTGAAGTAAAAGATGCTAGCTACCACTTTCGCTTTGGAGTTCAGCATGTCGTAATGGTAGCAAAAATAGGCTGTGCGTCGGCAGGGGATCGAACCAGGAACACCTGCTTGTTTGGCGGGCATTCTATCAGAGGAGACTTGCACAAAGGAATATTGATATATAAATACATTTTAATTTCAGTTGATGAGGTTAGGAATTTCGAGACAAAAAGTCACAAGTCCATTTTGTGCATTCTTTTCCCGACCATTGCTTTCATATTTTTTTGGTGAACGGAGTAGAACATCAACTCCCCTGTTGGCACTTCGGTGAGTCTAATCCCATTCCATCTGATTTCACGTATTCGCGGTACTTGAATACCATATGTATTCACATAGTTTGCAATCTGGTCACCTATGCCAATCTCATACATGGTGCAGAGGTTTAATGTCCATATACAGCCTTTTTCTTCGGTCGCAAGGATACTCTTTGTGCTGAGGTTTCTGCAGATGCTTTGTTAACCAAGTGCGATGACTGGCCTCACGCCTGAGGAGAGGGTTGCGGCACGAATGTTTAGTTTCGAGAGGAGCGACGTTTTAGTTTCCACCCCTCAGAATCAGTATAACAAAGAATAAGGCAATCATAACAACACCAGCAGAGACAAAAAATAATTCACAGTATGAAGAGCGGCGACAGTAACAACAAAAAACACCGTAGAATTAGGGTCACTATCAGATACAGTTAACAGAAATGATATAGAAGCCGCACACTCACTGACTTGGGTCAACATGTGTATGTTAACCGAACAATATATGCGAATATAGATATTGGTAAGCGTTAAATAGTCACAAAATGCCAAACATATAGTTATAGGTTAACCAGTTAACAAGGTTTTACACACAGATTCAGTGTTTAAAAATAACAAAATTGCAATACACTCCACACTTTCCTTACCAAAAACACCAGAGAAATAAGAGTCTTGTGTAAGTCAGCAAAATGTAGCGCATTAATCGAAAAGCGCGTCTAGGTAGGTCCATTTATACCCTTGGATAATTGCAGGAGTTACGTGACAAAAATAACATCACCTTGTGAAAGTTAGTGTCGAACAGATAAAATCTCCGGTTTTATCGAAAGTAGACAAGGCATCAGTCTAGATACGCTTGGTTTATTTTGGAATCCTCATGACCTATCGAAAATTCTGGACACTTTGAACTAGGAGTGAGATACATTTCCGTATTTTATGAAATATTAGTCGAATAGAACCTGAAATATTTTATCAACGAAAAGTTATTGGATATTATGAGGAAGAAGCATTATGTCATACATACAATGATTGTGTATTGTGTATTCTATCTCAATGGCATTTACTGGCATAAGGAACACCCACATAAGGAACAGATACTGGCACGTGATTGTATTTATGTTGGCTCCATGAACATGTATCATTGACTTGATAGCGTAACTTAACAAATGAATCGTCTGTCTCGAGTAATGGTAAATAAATAGGGCAGTCACTTATTTGATAAATCCATTCTGAACATTTAATCATGAAATCAGTAGAGTGAACCTGCTAATTGTAAATAACACGTACTAGACCAGTTGGGAAAATAATGCAGTATCACCTGGACGGTGATGCGCATTGATAACACAACTGCGATGCAAAGTTACTTACAAATGAGACGAGTTATTCATGTTTACTGTGAGAATTGCAGAAGATGGTGATGTCTGTCAGAAGCCAACAGCAGAAAAACCTCTCTATTGCTAGAGGCAACAAGTCTTGTTTCTCTGCTTATTCATAACACGCATTCAATTTGTGATATCTCTGTTGAGGGAGAACTGTTGCATCATACAACTGATCTGTATAAAACATTGAGGGTACACTCCACGACACTTACGCTCATATCAGTATGGGAAAGTGTGAGCTGTTTCAATTCCTCTATGTATTCTGCTATGAAATCTGTAAGTTAAGCAACCTGAACAAATACAGTCGATCAATTCTCTTCATGAATCACAGATTCTTCATGCAAATTACTGTGAATGTGGCGACATTCTCTAGTGAAGGACATGGTATTTGTGAAATATCTCATAAGTGTCTATTGCACAAATACCTCCTGACTTGTCACTTACACAGCATGGAGATGATAGTTGAGTTTTGGAAGTAAACTCAAATAAAGGCATTCAATAGAGTCGACCGTTAAGGATTTGGTGAGCACTGTGACACTATGAAATACGTCAGACTCTTATCAGTCTTTTCCAGTGGTCGACAACGGAAACCTTATTGGTGGTTGTGAAGACTGAATCAAGCGATAACTGACTGCAATCACCGATTGAAATCCTGACTGTTGTTGACTGGGACATTCAACCTAGTGTGAAAAGAGCGATAAGCTGCACCGATGAGAAGACTCTTTGAGGTTTGAATTTCGATCACGATTTATATTCATTTAGCACACGAACTCGACGGTCTACACGGAAGTATCACCAATTGTGCACTGAAAGAAGGCAGAGAATTGAGTACTTGAAGTAGTCATGTACGATGCGGAGGTGACGGAGACACTTACGCAACAGCAACAGGCGTCACACAGTGCCGACAAAAGGAATCTAGAAAATTCACTTCCTTCACTTGTCTAGTCAACAGTGTTGCAGCTGAGGATTCCACAGGTTTGACTTTCAAATCGTAATTTGGAAATGCAGGACAGAACATTATTCTGAGATGAGTTTGATGACTTGCTTGACTCAGCTAAAACCCGTTAAGGTGAGACACTCATGATATACACCCTAGAGACCCTAACACAAGACAATTTGATTCCATCATTCTTCTTTTGTTGTTTGGCATTATTCTTTCCTGAACTTCTCAAGAGAGACTATGTCGTATTACGCAGAATAGTGAAGACTGGAAGTAATGTTAGTGGTATGCTTTCGATTCCGCTAACTGATATTACTGCAAATTAGGACTCCAATTCTTGCAAGCATTTGACTCACGTTTTCTTGCCTGATAGCGAACATTCCCTTTATTGCCAACTTTCGGCTTGTATATCATAAGGTAAAACCACTAGAAGCTTCATAAGAATTTACGCTTGTACAAGTGAATATAATAATTCTGCCATACAATATTTAGCGAAGAGTCTTGTGTAAAGCGAGAATTCGATATCAGAAAGGAACGTATAAACGTTATAAATCAGTAACTGAACTGCAAAGTATAAGCAAAGATTATTCTTCCATGTATTATCCATGACACTGTCTTCTATCTACTTATACTTGATTATGTTTCCACAGAAATTATATTTATAGTGTTTTCTTTTTTCATATTGTTATTCCTATTTTAAATTTTATGTATGCACACATTGACAAAGGGAGCTACATTTTTTCAAGATTCCAAGGCCGAGTGATTTAGAAGAAGGAGACCCAAGGAGCTTATGATCAGCTCGCTCCAGTAGCTGACCTGAAATTAGATGATTCGAACTGATTTGGCTCTTTCAGTTAAGTAGAACGTGGTGTATTGATAATGGGTTCAGTTCAAATTGGCGAAACAGGTGTTTGGTGTTTAGACAACTTTAGACCACCACTAAGGTGAACGAGCATAACTGGTTGATATGGGTGATATATAACCACTTTAGAGGCAAGAGAAATAAGGAGATTCACATTGGACTTCAATGCTGTCACCAAGTATGCGAATGTCAAGGATCTGATGACAGAATCATTTTTGCTGCGGATGCTGCTTAGAAGTCAAAGAAAGGCGGCGGACGACACTGTGGACCGATTAGGTGAAAAAGAAGCCTCAAACCTATCGATTGAGCTATTGTTGACGGAATCCGACAACCTGACGGATAGGCAGCTGGAATTAGTTAGTTAGTGTTCACGGTGAAGCTAACTCTCTACATTGGTGAAGAGAAAGTATCGTGGTTACTAACTTCCCAGTTCATCGACAGCATTCCGTACCACATCTTTTAGTAACTACAACTGTCTTGCGCTGCAAAACCCATTGAAATTGGCAATCTAGCAAGTGTGACCATACAGCTTTTGAGCAAAACGGTAGTCGCAGTATAACTAACCGCTAAACACGAATCAGTGGGAAGAAGAAATCGCAGATTCGCTGCCTGGAATGGAGGCCCTAAGAATGAGCCTTACAGTAGGCAAGTTCGTCAAATGTAACGAAACACGACACTGGAGGAAAAACTGCCTGGAGAGACGGAAAAAGAAAAACCCTTAGTAGTATAGTGTGTCTCTTTCTTCTACAATAAGGCTAGAAGTGAAACTTCCATTATGAGTAAATTTTTTTTGATAAAGTCTCACAGTTTTATACAGTAATGTTTACTGATGACGTTTCGAGCACAATTCATTGCTCATAATCATATCAAGGTTATCACATGACTTCCTAGCTTCATTTATATAGTTCCATTATTTTCCACTTGGTTTTATCACTTGATATGATTGGTAATAGTATTTTCCATATTTCGGGTACGAGTGATGAATCATTCCTATTGCATGTGTTTGGTGTAGACTCGATGAACGAGGATTCAGTAAACACCCCCTCTCTCCACCTACCTAGATTACTTTTAAGCATTTAAACCCTTACCCACCCTAGTGGGTGGTTTTGTTAATGCATGCATTGCAATTGCGGAGCTTTTTTCTAAATTACTTATCTTCTCTGGGTCAACCATTCTTACCTTAGCTAAATTCTTATGTTCTGAAAATCTGACTACCCCTGACATACTAGTTTGACCTATGTAGCTGACCTAACTCAGTCATTGCAGGGTATTTTGTAAATAATATTATTTTGTTTAATTGAGTCAACGAGGTCCT